GGGCAGTGTGCAAACGACTACACCACCAGTGACTAACTGGGACTCAAAATCGGCCCAAGCATTTGTAAATATGACATGATGCTCGTCACATGGCAGATCAACATTGTAATTCTGAGAGCTGGTATTTTGCCTAATCAAGTATAGAACCACATTTTTACGTAATGTTTTTTGTTTGTTTGTTGGCAGCCATTGGTGACCAGGCTTAGGCCATCAACACGCTGCACTTGAGAAACCGGTTTAATCACAGGTGGTGTTTGTGACCTGGATTGAAACCCAGGTCGCAGCGGTGCCAGGCCAGTGCTCTGACCTCTGAGCCATCTGGCCACCTCAGGAATAATTATATAGTTATTTTATTTACCATTTTGGGAAATGTAGCTTCTACGAAATTATCTCAAACACCGAAGAACAAACTTCAATTACAGCTTCAGCCATGTCCTTTCGAGTTTGATTTTAAGCCTCATAACAAGGGCCCTTTAAGTAGGGAATTTTGAAAACAAGCACGGGCGTATGAAAAGAAAGTGTGGTGAAGGTGGCCAATTTCCACAGACAATTATATCATAATTATCTGTGGAAATTGGGGACGGGAGTGTACTCAGGTAAAATAGAATCGCAGAGAATGGAAAAAAAACGCGTGTAGACTAGACTGTGTAAACACATTTGTAAACACACCGGCCCAAATTCGGGCTATGCGCAATTATTTATATTTAAAAAAATGGGTTATGCGACGTACTGTATTGGCTAGATTTGCGATGTGACTTATAATAGCGATGTTGCCATCTGGGCTGGTCCAAAAGACAAATGGGCCCGCGAGGAAACATCTTTGGGGCTGCCGAATATGGGATGTAATGGCAACTGAGCAAGTAAATAAGCAATGACGCGTACACATTCGAAGCAATAAAATATTTTAATAAAAAAATGTACTCTGATCAGGTTTGCAATTTCCTCACACACACACACACACCGGCCCACCGGGCATTTGCCTTGTGGACTGCTGCCCTATGGCCAGTCCGGGCTTGGTCACCACTGCTGTGTGTGTGCACGCGCACACATCGGTCAGCTCAGTCTTAACTGTCGCAGTGCGTAAACATAGAGCACTGGGGAGACAAAGAAGATTTGCTGGATGTGATGCTGACTACGTCACGCACTCGTATGCCATGCCGCTCTTCATAGGTGCTCGCTCACAACACCACCCCCCTCCTCCCAGACAGTGGGACGGCTATCCAGGGGATCTGTGTCTTTGGCTGTGTCTTGACGAGCGACCATGCGCGCGCGTGTGTGTGTGTGTGATTTCAGAACGCACTAACAAATATTTAGAAAATGGGCAACATGTGCGGTGCGATTAATCAAAACGGATTTGTATGGCCACCGCCACCACCTCCAACAGCGAAGGGACTGCCAAAAAAAATCAATAAACACGTGGCACCGCCACCACGGCCGCCCCCACAACACTCCGGTGTCACACCACGATGCCAACCCAATCACCAAACCACCCCCCCTCACCACCACCCCCCCTTCCCAACGCTTTAAATACACGGATAATTTCCCAGCTTTCATTGCTTCGGGTATTCTTGGCCACCAAGAGGGAGATGAGTTGTGCAACGAGAGACGTCCCCAGCATCGCTCAGCGGCCCCCTTTCCCCACGCGTTGGTTCAGCGCCGCGCTTGGAGGAGGTGCAGTCAGAGGGCAGCACTCGGGATCATGTGATCGCGAGGTCAAAAGGTCGGGAGGTCGGGAGGCTGAAAGCCCAGTTCCCACGCGGGGTCGGCTCAGGACCATCGTCGTCGTCATCATCACCGTGATCGTCAAGTTCATCGTCGGTGTGATAGCTCTCATCGGTGTCGTCAATATTATCATCGTCGTCGTCATTGGTGTTATCAATGTCATAATAGCAGATGTCATCATGAGCATTGTAACGATTATCATCATAATCATTATCGATATCAACATCGTAATTATTTCATCAACATTATGAATACAGGACCATTGTTTTATACTTTGTAATAACGTCATCATCATCATCGTTATCATAACCATTGATATCAATGTTGTAACATCATAATTGGTAGCATCATTATCATGGTTATCAATATCAAACTCACATTGTCATCATCCTCATTATCATGACCATTGATATCAACGTCGTAATAACGTCGTTGTCGTCGTCACCATCATCATCCACCCTTCTCACATGGAGACGGGTTCCACATACATAGCACTTGGGCACAGATGGACAAACACTGTCACCTCAGACTGGGAAACCCGATGCAGAGTTTTCATAGCCTCCTCAACCCTGGCCCACAATCCCCCACTGCCCTTACCAATGGCACTGGTTTTTTTGCAAGCTGCCACGTGCACTTTGACAACCACGTGCTTCTCATTGTCATCGATCATCGGACGCGGGCAAACGTACAACGGCAAATCACGCTCGGGCTGATTTGTTGGTGACGGCAGAAGGAATGCGCAAGAAACAAGACACATCCCTACAATTATTATGAGTACTACTATTACCACGAGGAAATGGAAAACAGAAATGTCAAGAGGGGTGAAGGGAAAGCTTGGATGGCGTGGGAGCGGCAATGCATGCCTCCGCACTGCCATCATCCCAAATTCCAGTCGCTTCCCATGATCGCTCATCCAAATTGATCCCCCAAAGCGGCGGTCTGTTCTCCGCCGTCTTTGCGATGCGCTGTAATCCCTGCGAGGCCAGCTGCAGATGGGCCGTTCATTTGTCACGCCGTCGTCATCGTCACATTCGCGCGCGGGGGTTTTCTACACGTTTCTCTCTTGTTATAGTAACGTTGCTGAGAGAAACACGTCTATTACCTAAGTCTGCCGTCCAACAATTTCAGTTGGTGAATTCAGTCAAATGGTTTCGTGTACACGTGCAGCGAATTGCCATGTTTGGTGTTGCTCAGTGCACCGCGATCGCTAGTCACGTGACTACATTACCTTCGTCTGCGACATCTTTCGGACTCGTTGATTTAATCTCGTCACAGTCACTCGCATTTCGGCCTTTGGTGGGCAGTCACAGTTAACAGTTTAACACGTAGGCCTTCGCGACCAATATCATCCATAATAGAGAGTTTTTTGGGGGGTTAGATCGCGTAAATATATAAATGTGTCGTTAAAACCCGCCACCACCCGACACAGCCAACTAGTAGGGGTTGTCACGTAAACAGAACGTGGCCAATTCGTCACTAGTACAGCACACCGGTGTGTTGAAAAGCAAAGCCACAACATTTACAATCTGAGTTCGACGTTTCGCCAGCAATTACACAGTCATCGTTACGCTTTTTAACTTTCGAGCACTAGCAGCCGTCGCGGACTAAAATAAAATTACAAACCAAGTTGTTCATTCATATTTTCGTCACCGATTTTTTTTTGCTCACGAAATTACCGGTCGCATAGGCGTGTACAGCAAACTATTGTGGCGAGTGCTGTTAGCGAACACTTACGAAGGCCGGCACGGCACACGAAGGGGGTGGGTGGCCAGCACCACACCCAGCCGCCTCCGTCTTCCTAGTTTGCTATGTTTACGCACAGCACCGGGTACTCATTTTGAGGCTGAACCGACCTAGGGGAGGCCCAGGACCGGTTTAAATATCCCCCCGCTGTCATTGGTCGTGAGCGGGAATTGAACTCAGGTCACCGGGTTTGTAGCGCAGCGCATTACCCACTGCGCCATCGCCCCCCCACAATAGAGTACCCTCGGCGCCACGTGTCGCCAGAGCAGCAGGCGACGTGGGCCCCGCGATTCGAGCGCGTCCCTTCTCGCTCGTCGGAGTAAGAATCCCGACGTTAATAATGAAAGGGAAAGCTGGGCAAATCAGCGCCCGTATCCGATGGCGCGCGGCGACCGGGATAGAATGACGGCAGCTGAAGCAACAGCCAAGCGAACGCGCTGTGGCCAGAGCCGAGCAACGCGGCCGAGCTCCTCGCCACGGCGACTTTGGCGGCGGCAGCGGTGCTGGCGCTTCGCAATCAACCTTTCGATTAACGAGTTTAATTCGAGCGTAATGAGATGCGTCGCGCAGCACCATCTGTGCGGCGCAGCTCGCGCCAGGGAAATTATTACACGTTTTTTTCTGCCTGGGCCTCAATGCTGGCAGGGAGCCTGATTCACGGGACACATGGGGGAGAAGGCCGAGCATTCAAATCTCAGTTGGGGCTGACTCAACCGATTGTCATCGTCATTTTCCATCCACGGTCGATAAAATTGGTACCACTCAGTTGCGAGTCAGTAGCGGTTGTCCTATGAAGAGACTGATCCCAAGGGAATGAGGAATTTTCACTGCTAGCTCGATGATCAAGTGATCGATCAAGCTATAAAGAGTTGGCGCAAGCGATCGAGTAAAACGATTGAGAGATCGCGCGATGAAACGACTGATCCAATACAGAGGTCACGCGTGCGACTGAAATAGTTTTTAAGCGAGTGACTGAGTGAATGAGCTATTGAGCGAGTAACGAAGAAGGCAATCTCGTGACTGTGCAAGTGAGTGAGAGTGACCAAGGAAGTGATTGAGTGATGGAGTGAACAAGTGAGTTAGCGAACGATCGTGTGAATGCCTTTGGAGAGAGAGCGAGTAAATTCCGATTTAAAGCTTTCGTGACTGCAGGGATTCATCTTCTTGGTTCTTTCGGTAAAGTCACATAGAAGGGAAGTAATAAGAGAATAAAAATAAAACATAATAAAATAATTCTCACGACATTTCGGCCACAACGCAAGCAGCCGTCCTCAGGTGAAGAATGAAACACCACCAAGCTTGGAGCGTATATTTAAGCTGGGTTGGAGGGGGGAAGAAGAGCGCCTTGACATTGCGTTGTGGCCGAAACGTCGTGAGAATTATTTTATTATGTTTTATTTTTATTATTTTATTACTTCCCTTCTACGTGACTTTACCGAAAGAACCAAGAAGGAGAGAGCGAGTAATCGGGCGATCAATGGATGGAGTGACCGAGCGAGACACCGAGGAGTGAGCGAGCGATCTCGCCGACGCACCTGCTTCATGCGGTCGGAGCTGACGGCCGTCTGCGGAGGAAGGGGCCCCGCGGAGCCTTCGAATCTCCCAACGGCCCCGTCGCTCTCGCCGTGGGCTCCTCCGTTACCCAACATTCCTCCTCCGGAGCCGCCGCCACCTCCGCCGCCACGATCGCCAGGACTCGGGGGCATCTCCCGGATCTTCTCCGCGATGAAGTCATGCACAGAGTTGAGGGCATCGGGCGAGCCCTGAATCAACGCCACCCGTTCCGTGGTGCCTGCAGAGTGGACCAAGGAGGGAAAAGGGAGGATGTGGGAGGTGGGGAAATCATTCAGAGTTGAGGTGGAGAAGGAATAAAAATAATCATTCTCAGATTCATGTTTTCCCCAATTTAATCTTGACTGTGCTATCAGCGTCGCGGCATCTTTCAAATATCCGCAGAGCAGTGCAACCCTTGTCGTACGAGAATGGCACGTGGAAGCGGATATCACAGACCCACCTCTGAGAACACTTCAAGTGTGACCGCTGCACAGAGTAGAGGGTAGCCCTTTCCTATCCGCTCTGAATATGACAGGATGCTCATCACATGGTAGATCTTTCTGAGAGCTGGAATTTTGCCTAATCAAGTGTAGAAGCATATTTTTACATAATGTTTTTGGTTTGTTTGTTTGTTGGCAGCCATTGGTGACCAGGCTCATGCCATCAACACGCTGCACTTGAGAACGCGGTGTAATCACTGGTGGTGGCTGTGACCTGGATTCGAACCCAGGTGTCAGCTGTGCCAGGCCAGTGCTCTGACCTCTGAGCCATCTGGCCACCTTTGGAATAATGATATATTTAATTTATTTACATTTTTTTTTTTAAATGCAGCTTTTACGAAATAATCTCAAACGCCAAAGAACAAAATTCCATTACAGCCTCAGTCATGCCCTTCCTTGCCCTTCTTTGCTTTCAAGTTAGAATTTAGGCCTCAAAATAAGGCCCCTTTAAGTCGATTATCTGTAGAAATTGGGGAAGGGAGTGCACTCAGGTAAAACAGAAACGCAGAGAATGGAAAAAAACACGTGCAGACCTAGACTGTGTAAACACACGTACTGTGTGGGGCTTCGAATCCGCTTTGTGTTTGTTGTTCTTGTTATTAAAGTCCTAAGATGTACTTGCCACAGTGTGTGCGGTGGTCACGGGGTCACCGATCGAGGCACTGACCCGTCGAGAAGTGAGGAGCAGCTAATGATGTAAACCAGCGAGTGCGTGAAAACTAACAAAAAATAAATCATTTATTTTTTGCACAACCCCGGGGTAGTCGGCGCACGAAAAACCGAGAGAGAGTGAACTGTAAAGAAAAACCCCAAACATAATTCCTGTGAAATCGACAAGAATGAGTCGAAAGTCAAAATGTTGCCTTGTACGAGCGAGCGAGCGAGCGCTGGGGCAAATGATGCCCACGCATGTTCATCCACCTGGCACTCGGCACGAACAGCCCCACAATCGTTCACTTTCACCGGCTCCAGGAGACAAAAGCCGCCAGCTTAAACGAACAGAGCCGAGCGGAAACGGACAGCGATTTTAAAAGCTTTTCGACAAAAAAAAAGTCTGCGGTCGTGCCATGCGCGTTAAATAAATAATTTACTCTCTCTCACACACACATTATTTAAACACACGGATGTTGTGCGTTTTGGCAGACGAATCTTGGGCAGCGTTGGCTGTGGGGGTGGTTTTGTTGTTGTTGAGGATTTTTTTTTACCGAGTAAGCAGACAGACATCCCAACTTTAAGAGCTGGTGAAATGATGTGGCATGGATTTATGTACTGACACACACTGACACACACACAGAGACAAAGATCCCCCTCATAGCCTGTAACGGATTGTTGGGCAAGTGCTGTTAGCGAGCGCCTGTGATGTTCCGGCACGGCACACGAGGGGGTGGGTGGCCAACACCACGCCCAGCCACCTTTGTCTCCCTAGTGGTGATGTTGAAACGCACCAGGTACTCATTTGAGGCTGAGTCGACCTAGGCAAGGCCCATGATCAGTTCGGATAATCGTCACTGGTGTTGACCGAATCGAACTCGTGTCGTCGGGTTTTCAGTGCAGTGCGCTAACCGCTACACTACCGCTCCCCAACACACACAGGCACACACACACTGGCACACACACTGGCACACACACTGGCACACACACACACACACTGGCACACACACTGGCACACACACACACACACTGGCACACACACACACACACCGGCACACGCACACGCCAGCACACAATGGCACTCACCGGCACACACACACACACCAGCGCACAATCACACAAAGACCATAATCCACGGCGTATAGTAATATTTATGTTCTGGCTCTTAAGGCGAGTGCTGTTAGGGAGCACCTACGGCATACACAGGCACGCACTAATGCAGAGTAATGTATACACACGAATGCACACCGATATATACGCACTAATGTAAATTGTATTGATGCTGGCAGTGGTGATGGTGGCAGTGGTGTGTGAGTGGCGGATTGGCACCGTTGAATGTGAATGTAGTGGTCCGTGGTGGTGGTGGTTGGTGGTGGTGCGCTCATTGAGTAAGTGGTGCAGTGTGTAAACATCGCCACTGGGGAGACAAAGGCGGCCGGGCGTGGTGTCGGCCACCTACCCCCTCGTGTGCCGTGCCAGCCTTCACAGGTGCTTGCTAACAGCACTTGCCCCAACAGTGTTACAGGCTACACGGGGGATCTTTGTTCTGTCTTCGTCTTTTGGTGTTGGTGTGTGGGTGATGGATTGGCATGGTGGGGGTATGGATGGTGGTGTGTGGGTGGGTGTGGGGTTGGCATGGTGGGGTATGGATGCTGGTAGTGGTGGCGTTATGTGAGTGGTGGGTTGGCATGGTTAAATACGAACTTAGTGGTTTGGGTGATGGGTTGGCATGGTGGGGTATGGTTGGTGGTGGTGTACAAGTAGTGGGTTGGCACAGTTGTCGATTAATGCCGTGGTGGTTGTGGTGGGTGCAGGCTATGGAGTGGTGCGGTGGAGAGTCAGTGGAATTGGCCGAGAACCAACGTCACACAAATAACGCAGCCGTAATCACCCCTCGCGCAATCACACACACACACTGGAGTACAGTGCATACGAATGTGGGTTTGTGGTCACGTCTGCGCAAGGTATGCATGTGTGTGTGTTTAGGTGTGTGTGTGTGTCTAGGTGTGTGTGTGTAGGTGTGTGTGTGTCTAGGTGTGTGTGTGTGTCTCTAGGTGTGTGTGTGTCTAGGTGTGTGTGTGTCTAGGTGTGTGTGTGTCTAGGTGTGTGTGTCTAGGTGTGTGTGTGTCTAGGTGTGTGTGTGTCTCTAGGTGTGTGTGTGTGTCTAGGTGTGTGTGTGTCTAGGTGTGTGTGTGTCTCTAGGTGTGTGTGTCTAGGTGTGTGTGTCTCTAGGTGTGTGTGTGTGTCTAGGTGTGTGTGTCTAGGTGTGTGTGTTTGTCTAGGTGTGTGTGTGTGTCTCTAGGTGTGTGTGTGTCTAGGTGTGTGTGTGTCTCTAGGTGTGTGTGTGTGTGTCTAGGTGTGTGTGTGTCTCTAGGTGTGTGTGTGTCTAGGTGTGTGTGTGTCTAGGTGTGTGTGTGTCTCTAGGTGTGTGTGTGTCTAGGTGTGTGTGTGTCTAGGTGTGTGTGTTTGTCTTGGGTGACTTCAATGCCCGAGTTGGTCATGATGCTGACACCTGGTCTGGAGTGATTGGAAGGCATGGGCCAGATCAGCTCAATAATAACGGTAGGAGGCTGCTAGATTTTTGTGCAGCCCATGGGCTTGTAATTACCAACACGCTCTTCCGGCATCGGCGCATCCACACAACATCATGGATACATGCCGGGTCCAAGCAAGAACATCTGCTGGACTACATAGTGACGGACCAGCGGATGCGAACCCATGTCCTTGACACCAGGACCTACCGTGGAGCTGATCTGTCCTCTGACCATCGACTAGTCATCTGTAAGATGCGCCTGCCTTTCTTCCACTCCGGTGGTGGGTGTACACCCAGGATCCCATTCCAACCAAAAGTGGCCTGGTCTCAGTTAGCTGATGAAAGTTGCAAGCGAGAATTTCATCATCGCTTGCAGCTGGGGTTGGCATCGTCCCCCACTCCACCTGATGTCGAGGGTAAATGGGCGAGGTTTAAGACTGTGACTCATGCAGCTGCAATGGCTGCTTTGGGTACGCGGTCCAGACCTCCCCAGAAACCCTGGCTGACAGAGGAGGTGTTCAGGTTAATTGAGAAAAAGCGACAGGCCCACTCTCATCGCCTACAGCATCCCACGTCAGAGAATGAGGAGGTTTACCGCAGCCTTCGCTCGGAAGTTCGGAGAGCCGTAAGGCGTTGTAAGGATGGGTGGTGGTCGCGGGTTGCTGAGGAGATGGAGTCTGCCTCAATGGCCCGTGATCACAAATCACTATTTAACTCCATCAAAAAAGTAACCTGCAGCGCCACACCTATTACCATCATTAGAGGAAAAAACGGTGATCCAATCTCCGACCCCCAGGAACAGGTTTGCAGATTTTCTGAGCATTTCTGTGAGGTCCTGGGGGAGGGAAATTCTCTCAGCCAGGAAAACATCATGGCACAAAGTGGGGATAACCCTGCTGAGGCTGCGGTGCCTCAAATATTGGAAGAGGTCACCCCCTGTGAGTGGCTGGCTGAGGTTCCAGCTGTTGAGGAAGTACTGAGGGCGATCCGGAGTCTGAGACCAGGGAAGGCACCGGGCAGAGATGATCTCCCAAGCGAAATGCTGAGGGAGGGTGGCGTTTGTGCACAGACTGCCCTATATGACATCATAACAACAGTCTGGACCACTGGACGGGTTCCGCAGGACTGGAAGGATGCCCTGGTGGTCCCCCTCTTTAAGAAGGGGGACCGCACAGACTGTAACAACTACAGGGGCATCTCACTCCTCAGTGTGCCGGGTAAGGTCCTGGCAAGGATTATTCAACATCGCCTTGCTAGGCACGCTGAGGAGGGGCTTGCGGAGCCCCAATGCGGTTTCAGGAAAGGGCGGTCCTGCACAGATGCCATATTTTCTGTCCGTCTGCTACAGCAGAGGTGTAGGGAATTCCAAAAAGACCTACATCTCTGCTTTATTGACCTGGTCAAGGCCTATGATACCATCAGTAGGACTGGACTCTGGGTTGTTCTTCGTGCTTTCGGAGTCCCTGACCCTCTGCTCACGATCATTAAGGACCTTCATGATGGTGAGCGGGCCCGGGTAAAACTACGTGGCCGGGAGTCGGAGCCTTTCCCTGT